ATCGTGGGCCAGAAGCAAGAGGTGATGCTTGTAACTGGGAAGTCCCAGGGACACAATGAAGGGAGACAATGAAGAGAGCAGGGACAGAGATGCTGTCTCATGACCTTGTTCTGCAGTGACTAGCAAGGAACAGCGGTGGCAGCTGCTGAAGGCAGTGCCACGGTGTTGTAAGTGCTATTATTAGCTGGTAAAATATCCTTGTACTTACCCAGTTTGTACAAATGTAAAAATGTGCTCCTCCTTTGCATTGCTGAAGGAAAGTATAATGGCCCTTTCTCCTAAATATCTATAGACTGATGTCCTGCCTATTCTTGAAATTCCTCATGTGATAATGCTTATAGTTGGAAGGCAGCTCAATTTGTAGTGTTGTCTTCGCTGCTCCAATGAGCATCTCGTTTGGATAATCCCAAGTGTCAAGAACAGGACACACACAGATTTAGGCAGATGTCCAAGGCAGTCCTCCTACTGAGCACAACTTTCCGTTCCATTCAGTTGCAAACTCGGTATCACAATCTGAAGACTGTTGACAGTAAAGGATGCTGCTGATTTAAACTGATTTCCATAAACTTCCCATCAATCCTCCAAATATGTCTTCCACTTTCACGGGCTTACTCCCTCAGACAAATTAAAACCTCCGCGATCTGACCTGCTTCTGCCAGTGTGGCTGTGAGTCGGTGGATTGTCTGGGCGCAAGCTGGGAGCTCTGTGCCACAGGCTGAGGACACTTTTATGCAGGATACGGCATGGCCTGCTGGCTACAGCACTTGGTAGCTCTCAGGCTTCTCTGAAGAACCTAGACCAACTCCAGCTATCTATCTGCCCAAATCTAGACCTAGACATTTCTTCTCCAAGAGCAGATGCTTCTGAGAATATATAGCTATGTGCCCAAGAAACTTGACACGGTTCTCCAGAAATTGTTATCAGAAGTCTTTCAAAAGCTGACCGATGACTATTTTTTCTGAGTTTTTTTCTAAAGCCAGAGCTAAAGATACTGCCAGAGCACTTTATTTGAAGATAATATCACACATTTAAATGCAGAAAGAGGAGAATCTGTTACAGTCTGATAAATTTCAGTGCCTATGGAGGCTAGAGATTTGAAAAGTAATGAGACTATATTGTTGTCTGTTATTTAAATGGTCTAGATCCTACCCTAGATCCCACCCTGGAACAAAAACTGAGTAAACAACATTGCTAATACAGGTTTACCCGATTACAGATTGAAACCTATATTAATCAAATATACTGCACTGGCTGTTAGATATGGATCAACCGAACTTTCCCTGAGCAGCTATACTTTAGTGTGAACCTAATGTATACTCTTTCTCTGCTTTATATAACAATAAGACTGGCACGTCAGTTATGTCAGGAGCATTTTCACAGTATCAGTTGTTGCAGAACTGCAAGGAGCAATTTGAAGCCTATTCCATTACACCTTTCTTTTCTGCCTCAGTTTGTGTGCTCATTCTATGCAGAAATCCTCACAGTGCTGGCAATAACGAGTAATGAGATGAATGCACAGGAAAAAAAAGCCAGTTTTTAGTGGCAATTTAATACTGGGAAACTACATTTTCAGATTGCTACCAGTTCTTGCCCCCACAAAAATCAGAAACAACAGTATCTGGAAGAGCCTGTTAAGACTGCATCGTTAACTCAAGGAATGTTTTACTATTCGTTGCATCAGCAGCAGATTCAAATGTCTCATACCCAGCCCATAAGAAAGGAATTTGAATATGTCCATTCTTTTAGAAGCATTTTGCAATTTATAAGGAAATATTTTTGAAGTTTAATGAGTTGGATTTTTATGTGGTTTTGTAGAACCATACCTAAATGACATAAACTGCCAGAATCTCTCATTTAAAAGAATACTGTTTGTATTCTGAAATGCAGATTAAATATAGTATGTCAAGAATTATATAGCTAAACTGTGGTCATAGACTGATTACCTGGCATTTCAGTCCAGAATACAGTTCCAGAAACATGCCCAGAACACAGGAGGTTTTGCTAGTAAAGATTCAGTCAGCGGAGGTTTTATTTACTCTTTCTGTATCAGCATAGCTAGCCAAGCAGATTGCTACAGGCCTTTCGTATAAACTCAGTGCTTCTGTTAATATCAGCTACATCTGGTCTATGAGGATTTACCAGCGTAATACTGGTAAAGGTATTTTACTCTATGTACTATTGTACTTGCAGTCTCAAATACTGCAAAGTGTTCTTTATGTAGACTCAGAATAGGGAGTCCCCTTTTTTTTTTTCTCATAGTTGCTATTGTTCTTCCTAGTGATCCCCTGCCATTCCTTGCCTAATGAGTTGTAAAATCTAATCAATTGCAATAATTAAAACATACTGTGTGTGGAATGATGCACAACTTTAATTACAGAACAAAGTCCTAGACAAACAAAAGCTTGAGATCCTTACATTAGAAGAAACCAAAATACTTTCTTTTGCTGTAAATTTTTTTCACTGAGAACAGGCTCATGCTTATAGATGATATATATAGAATACTAAAATATGATATATATAAAACACTAAAAATTCCAGGCCTGCTATTCTGTAGATTTTATTCAAATAGCTGGCAGAGTTCAGGCCTGCATGTTACCAGCATATGAATGAATGGCTGGAACAGATAGATGGTTGCTGTCAATAAAACACCCTGGGTGGCAACTCTGAACAGGGATAAGTTTTGTATTCAAGACCTATAAAATGCACGGAGTTTTAGCATTGTCACACAGTGTAAGAAGGGGTGATATACATTGACTCACCTCTTTTCAAAGGATCTTTTGTGTGCTGGGGAACATTTAGGCATACAATAAATTCCCTATGACAGACTGAAACGCCGGTGTTTGCTAACCACAACCAGTTTGATGACAATCAGGCAGATACATTCTCATGATTTCGTGTTTTAAGAACAACACATGTCAAGTAATTGTGTCCTTGTATTGTACACCTTTTTCCTATGCTGTTATGTACGTTGTGATGCCGGCCCCAACGAGGAAGCAATCAGTTTGACAGAAACTGCAAGCTCAACAATTCAGATCTGTGCCATGTTTATTTGTTCTTTGAATTCTGAAAGTATAATTATGTTACTGAGTACGTTGGAGAACTCCAGCACGCGTTAGTTATTTCACAGTAATTTCAGTGAAGTGGAGAACCTAATATACTTTATTTAAGCTTCAAACTTTTTCGCAGTGAAATCTGATACAGGCAACTTTCACAGTTTGAAAGGTAGTTATTGCTCTCCAATAGTGTTGCCTTTTGTCTGCCTCTGTCCTAGCTACAGGACCTCACAAATTTATTATTCAGCCCTGCCTAGGTACGCAGTGTTATTGCCTTCATTCTTTACTAAGATTGGCTTCTTTTGCTGTTGTTTTAAAGAGTTCTACAGCCCTTCTAAATAGGATTGATTAACCAGAGTATGTTTTCTGAATGGCTGTATGAAGGATGAAGACAGGTGGTCCACAACTCACTTGGCAGGAGAAAGAAATGGATCTTATTCCTCCAATAAATATGGCTCGAAAAAAAAAAAAAAGGCAGAAGTAGCACTGGTAGAGAGAGATACAAGTCTGTGTGGAATACTTCAAAATATGAAAGGTGCTACCTGTTCTGTACTATTATTAGCTGAAAAAGGCCAAAGATAGCACAAGATAAGTACAAGATGATGCCAAATACGGACTCTCACACCATGAGCAATTTCAGTTTGTGCTCAGAGAGCTGAATTTATGCTTAGTAACCCCCAGCTGAAACACGCTTACTGCTATTTTTCTCAAAGTTAGAGTGAGGTGGCCTTTCCGTCTCTGGAGCCGTTATCACCACTGTGACCAATCTCTCCACATATACTCATCACGCCTGCATTCTGCTTAGCTGCACTTCACTCTTCTTGGGTATTACAGCAATTTTGGCAGACTTAGTGTGTCCTTGGAAGTACACCAAACATCACCAAGTGGATTTAACAGTACCATTTCTGAGAAATGAGAGCAGATGCTTTTATGAATAAGCTTAAACTGAGCTTTAAAACAGAAAACAATTTATTTTAATATTTCTATTAGAAACCTGGATTTACTTAGGACTTCGAACCAAAACAATGTATTTTTTCCAAGTAAAGTGTTACAGTAACTTCTGCATCACTTTAACACTTCGCACACTATCTCAAAGCTGCCCATATTCTTTTGAGTGTAAATAACTAAACTTTGTAGTAAAACCATTAGGTTCTCTGATAGATTGATTTCTTTTCTCATAATATTGGTTCTGTAAATGAGAATGACCAGCTATTCCAGGCAAAATGAAAGGCTGTGAGGTACGGAGGTGCCTGAACTTTATCAAAATGAATGACAAAATATTTCAGAAAACCTATCTCCTGAGACAGCAATTGAAACATTATTTCTAGGAAGCATTCGTCTACTTACACATTTTAATCATGATGAGAAACTGGGTTCACCTTCATACTACTGCTTACATTTTAACATCTTGCTCTCAACCCAATTCAGGGCCAATACCTTCAATTCTTGTAACACCTGAAATGTGTCTAGACATGACAATTCAGCAACAATGCTTCTTGTTTATTTTTCTTAACTTTGACTTTTGGCTCATAAATTTATGCATGGCTAGGAAGCTGTGCACTATGTAGTACTAAATTAACAGCTTACATACCGTATTTCCCAATCACTTCTCTGCACTGTGTAAAGTTTTACATAATTACACTTAATGCAGAAAATTAATAATGTTCTGCACATTAGCAGGAACTTTATATCCTTCACTTGGTAACTTGCAATAATAAATAACACCTCCCATTGTGATTTTAAACATAGTAAAACCAGTCATGGCTTGCTTTCTGAAATGAATTGGCTTACTGCAGGCAGTAAAACCATCAGGTTTTGACTATGTCTAAGATGATTCTAATGTTTTCTCTCTGTGCAAAAATCAAAACATTAAAAAAAAATAATGAATGCAGCAGCCAAAGCAGCTTCCACCATTCTGAGTTTATTTGACACATGCACATTTGAAAGGATTTAAGCAAGCCCCGACAAATACACTTGTATCAGTCTAACCAAAACATTGTTTATTTTGTTTTACAGATTTTGGCCATTGTGTCCATTCTGTTCATCGTACTGTCCACTATTGCTTTGTCTCTTAACACACTGCCAGAGCTTCAAGAAATAGATGAATTTGGGCAGCCAAATGACAACCCTCAGCTAGCACACGTTGAAGCTGTGTGTATTGCTTGGTTTACCATGGAGTACCTTTTGCGTTTTCTGTCCTCACCAAATAAGTGGAAGTTCTTCAAAGGCCCATTAAATGTCATTGACTTACTGGCTATCTTACCGTACTATGTCACCATTTTCCTCACAGAGTCCAATAAAAGTGTCCTGCAGTTCCAAAATGTCAGACGTGTAGTTCAGATATTCCGTATTATGAGGATCCTAAGGATTCTTAAGCTCGCCAGACATTCAACAGGTCTTCAGTCGTTAGGTTTTACGCTCAGGCGGAGTTACAACGAATTGGGCTTGTTGATATTATTTTTAGCCATGGGAATAATGATATTTTCAAGTCTTGTATTCTTTGCTGAAAAGGATGAGGATGCTACAAAATTTACCAGTATCCCTGCATCATTCTGGTGGGCAACAATCACTATGACTACTGTAGGATACGGTGACATTTATCCTAAGACATTATTAGGTAAAATAGTTGGAGGACTTTGCTGTATCGCTGGAGTTCTGGTCATAGCCCTGCCCATACCAATTATTGTGAACAATTTCTCAGAGTTTTATAAGGAGCAGAAAAGACAGGAGAAGGCAATTAAGAGGAGAGAAGCACTTGAGCGAGCTAAAAGAAACGGCAGTATTGTCTCCATGAACCTGAAGGATGCCTTTGCTCGCAGTATGGAAATGATAGATGTAGCAGTAGATTCAGGTAAGCCTGGAGAAGCAGCCAATCCAAAGGAGACACCTGATGACAACCACCTGTCCCCAAGCCGGTGGAAGTGGGCCAGAAGGACAATGTCTGAAACAAGCTCAAACAAGTCTTATGAGAACAAATACCAAGAAGTTAGTCAGCAAGACTCCCATGAGCAATTAAACAATGCCGCAGCATCCTCCAGCCCGCAGCACCTCAGTGCCCAAAAACTGGAGATGTTGTACAATGAAATTACTAAAACTCAGTCTCAGCCTAATCTTAACGCTGGTTACCAAGACCAGTCAGCAAAGCCACCTGTGTATGAAGAAGAAATAGAAATGGAAGAAGTTACAGGTCAGAGAGATCCGTTGCCAACTGGACCTACGGACATCATAACAGACATGAGAAGCACATCCAGTATCGACAGTTTTGCCAGCTGTGCGACCGACTTCACGGAAATGGAGAGGTCTCCCCTTTCTCTGTTTTCTGGCTCTCACTTGCAAATGAGATTTCCAGCTGATGCCGTTAACCTGGAAGACAACCAAAGAGTAAGGAATTCTCAGTTTATACCGTTCACAAAAGACAGAATGTTTTCTCCAACCGATGTCACCTTCGACTATAATCCAATCGACAGAGCTGTTATCAGTGACGGCAGTGGATCCCAAACTGTTTTGCATGGTCATTTGCATTTAGACACTGCCATGGAAAGCCCCAAAAGTTCCCTGAAAGGTAGCAACCCATTAAAATCTAGATCCCTTAAAGTTAATTTTAAAGACAATAGAGGTGGTGCTCCACAAACTCCACCGAGCACTGCAAGGCCGCTGCCAGTAATGGCAGGAGCAGACTTCACACAGGCCACCCCTCAGCACATCAGCACCATTCTCCTAGAAGAAAATTCACCCCAAGGTGAACGACCTTTACTTGGTGCTGATGCATCAGCACTTTGTCAGGGACCTGTTAAAAAATCATCCCCTCTCTTTCCCAAACAAAAGATTTTCACCTTCCCTTCAAAAGAGAGGAGGAGCTTCACTGAAATAGACACTGGAGAAGAAGAAGAGTTTATGGAGTTACATGGTATAAAACATGAAAAGCAACAGGATACCAAGACAAATTGCTGTGGGGATAAACACAGTGATGGCAACCATTTAACAGAGGAGCCACAGGTCAGCTCTTCACCCAAAAGCATGAGCCACAACTGTACCCAAGACATTTACCATGCTGTGGGTGAGGTAAAGAAAGACAGTAACCAGGAAGGTCACAAAATGGAAAACCATTTATTTGCCCCAGAAATCCATTCAAGTCCAGGAGAAACTGGTTACTGTCCCACACGCGAAACTAGCATGTGACTACTTACAAAAGCAATAAAAATACCTTTTCTTAAAACACAGTTAGTAATGCCTATGAACTAAAACATGGAAAGCCTCAAAAAAAAAAGTGCATAAAATGTTATTTTTGCATGGCATGAAGAGTTGTTTAGTTTAAATACTGTTTAATTTAAAAAAAAAAAGACTGCTTTTTGTAACAAACAAAAAAACGGGAAAAAAATGACTCAAGAACAGTGAATAAAATAAAGAGAGCTCTGTTAGGAGCCAGTGTTCTGCAACATCTGACATTTTTGATCCTTTCACTTACGATTGTAGACAGATTTTGAACTCTTTTAACTTTTTTTGTTTTCTTGGTTACAATGAATTTTAGAATTTGCACATGAAAGGATGAAATGTCAATGCATGCATTCATAAAGATGTGAAACAAGGTGCTTTGAGCTTGCAAAATGCATATATTTGTAAATAGTTTGGGGCTGGGGGGAAAGCTACTGTTAACAAGGATTTATGGAAAAAGCATTTCCTGGGACACAGGTACTTCCTTCACAGCGTGCTGCCTGGAGGTTTTGTACAGACTTATGTTGCAAAATTGCAACTTCTACTTAAAGCATCTCACGTATCTTGCTTTCTGTTAAAAAGCTCATAAGTGTATCTGTTAATTAAGGACTAGAGTATTTTAGTTTATCTGTGCTGTAAATCATGATGGGGTTTTTTTTTTATTTGCATAACTTTAGTTATTGCATTTGTCAGTTTAATTAATGATCCTGTGAGGAAAAGCAAAGATTTAATGACCAGAACTTGAAGCATCTGATATTTTTATAGAAAACTGCCAACATGTCATAACTAAGGAAAAAAATGTTCCATTTTAAAATAAAAAAAATAGAGTTATTTCTGTGGCAATAAATAGTGCCAAATGGCTATATAGACATATCCAAAAGTTCTCAATCTCTTAGAATATTTCTTTTAACTTGGTATGAAAAAAAAAAAATATTACCCACATTCTTTTTTTCCTTTGATTTAACAATATTTGCTTCTACATGATCTTTG